CGAATACCCATTCAACACCGCCAGCCGCCTCGTCGTCTGCCCTATGCTCGATGCCGCGCTGCTGCCCCTCCTTTGCCATTCCTACCTTGGGGGGTATGCCACCATGCGCCGCGACGAACCTCGAGTTGCAACGGCGGCACCTTTTGCGCCTTCGCATCGCCGTGTTCACCCTCACCGCTTCTCTGCTCCGGCTCCTGTTGCAATGGCCTAGATTCAGAGATTTCCTCATTCAGCATCAACGACATTCGGCAACGATAATGAAGAGAGTCCAATGTCTCGCGTGGTGGTTGCAACGCTGACCTTGTCTTCTTACACGGAATTAAAGCTGTCCATGGCAGGAGTCGTCTGGGAGGGTCAGCCTCAGCGCCATGCCCCGCGCGGGAACTGGTGAGAGACCTGGAGAGACCGTCATGTGGGCGTGGCTGGGCCTGCGACACCACCGATTGTGAGTCGGTTCGTCGCCCCTTTCCGCCGCCATGAACGAACGACGGTCCGCCTGTTTGGTCGCGTAGTTGCAAACTGACGTTGGACGAACAAATTGGCGAGGCCGGAAGGCGCAATCGCTGCTGGCGAGTCAGTCCAATATCTCAGCTGTCGCGGGCGCTTTGCGCTGACCCAGGCACGAGAGAAGCGATCATCAGGCACTTGAGGCTCGTCCCAGGGATGCCTCTGGTTGGGGTCGTCGCCAGGAGGCGGTGGAGATGCAGGTGGTACAGCCATCTCGGGCCTAACGACGTGATGGAGGGTGCGGCTTGTCAGATGCCGTTTCCTCATTCGACGCTGTCAACCCCATCGTCGTCCATATCAGTGAAACAAGGGCCAGACCAAACCAGGTCGCCTATCCGTCCGGTCTTCAACTCTCGCGACATGACCTGCACGCCAGGTACGGGGAAAAATCATTTGACATATCAGACATTTTCTGCATCCTATTCGGGCCCATCTGCGGCCAGACCTCGAGGAATGCGGACAGCTGCTGCCCGGTCGAGTATGCTGTGTCCAGAAATGTTGGAGAGAGAAAAGACAAGAGACAGGCCAATGTACTGGCGGCCAACCACCGCCTCCGAAAGGTCTTGGACTTGGTTCCGATGCCAAGCACACACCAGGGAGCAGCGGCGCATGTGGCCATCCATGGCTTAATCCGTGTAACGGGGTGCTGGCCAATCAGATGCCGGCCATGCGAGGCTGGAGGTCTGGGGACCGGGGACCGCTGACTCGCCGGCCAAGAGAGATCGGCCAACTGTGCGATTCACGTTTGACCGTGAGTCGTCTCTTCATGCTCACCGTTAAGCGGTGACTGCCGAGCATCCGTCGATCTCGCCGGATCAGGACTGCAGGGTCCATACCTGACCGAATATCGTACCTAGGAATTCGACTTGTCGACCGCAAGAGATGGGAATTCCGTTCGTGGCGGCTAGCGAGGGGTCATCGTCAGCCATCAGAAAAGCCCACCGACGTACGCACGCCAAACGAAACGCCATGGCCGGGACTGGGAACTCCACGGAAGCATGGCTGGCGTTCTACAACCATGACGCTGACGTAAAGTTCAAGCCATTCGCTGAGCTACTGCATCTTCGCCATGCCATCCCATGCTTTTTCAGCTACTTGGTATAGCCGCAGCGGGAGCCATTGCATCCGTTGGAGCTGACGTTGGATATCAAACTCAAAGCCTGGGACCGACGTTGTCGTTCGTCGGTCAGTCGGATTCGGCGCAAAGAATATCCAGTATCCGGATAACCTCGACGCGTCCCACCCCTGGTCACGCCCCGTTCCGACAAGACGAGACGTATCCGAATCCTGCCCTGCTTCTCGCGGCGCTACTCGCGCCAGGTCCATATCTCACGAGACACAAGCAAACAAGGCTGCTTGAACCCTGAAGATCCTCTGGAATGCCAAACTGCAGTACCGAACAAGCCGAGAAACTGGGATTTGACCACATGATTTGGAGATGCAACCGCTTAATGAAAGGCAAAGAATGCGGAACATTCGCAGCGTTCGTCTCGCAGATTGTGTGGCTCGTAGGGGCAAGGCGATACGCCGATTGCTCGCTCACCGCTCCGTCGCAAAAATTCTTTTTCCTGCACATTCGCACACCTCTCATGCAAGCAAGACCGCGAGTGGATATCGCAGGCCACAATGGACATGGGTTTACGGGCCTCGTTCCACTCGTACTGGATGACGCTATTCCCAAGCCGTCCTAGTGAGGGAGACAGGGATTCGACGATGGTGGTCTGTGCTGCTATCGGCTCATGACGAGCCAGAAGGAGGGGCCATCTGGACCCTTGGGATGCCCCTCGATCTCGTGGGGAATTGGCGACGGCCGTTGGCTGCAGCCAACCAAACGCCATTCCCGCCTTCACCACGCCTTGTCGACTTGAGCCACGGCAATACGTACGCCGGAAATAGACGCCTTTCGACGTCGTTTTGGCTGGTTCTATCCACCTTCGCGAAGCGGCCGACGACGACCACAGCCTTAACCTTTGCGGAGACCTCATGCAACTACTTTACTCCATCCTGGGTTTCTACTGCCGCCTACCGCCTGACGTGGGTTTCTCGGTGCAAGTACCGAAACACGCTCCGCCAGTCTCTCTTCTGTCTCCTCCTTCTCCTCCTTCTCCTCTCCAAAGCCATGGACAGCCTGCGTCCGTCTGTTCATTAGAGCGGCATCTAGACACTCAGATGCGCATTCCAAGTTTCTTATTCGGCTCGGCAGCGGTCTCGCGCCTCTACCCGGGTGGCCCCCCACACTACTCATCTCGGAACTCTGCACCGCACAGCAAAACTGCCAGACCCCGGACCTTGTCTTGCGCTACCACCTCTCCGCTTTCGCACGTCAACAGGCCAGTTCTGCTGTGTTTTGTTTCTTTTGCGGGCATCGTATGAATTGGTTCGACTATCAGGAGCTGATGATCTGACCTCAACACCACGAAGCATGACGGGCGTCATGCTGTGATGAGGGATCGCGGGGAACCCATCCATCGCCTCATGCTCGACACACGCTGACTCTATTGATCTAATGCACCGCACCCAACACGGTTATTACACACACGCAAAGGCAAGGACCCCGTCGTCCTCGTCTCGCAATTTCCCACACCGCAAATGCAAACCGCATGTTTGTGAGAGGCGTTTTTCGGTCGTGCAACGCACATAATCCCCTCGCTGCGGTGTCCCGTGCCTCGTGCCCTCTTCCTTCGACCGGAAAAGGGATCATGCAGTCACTCAAATCAGGCACTTAACGGCTTTCCTCGTCCCATGCTGCTGCCCGGAGCCGCGATCTCGGAGGTGGAGAATGCGATCGAGTCCTGTCTGCACGTCCCCTACCCTCCCTGCCTTACGTACTCCGTATTCAATGGCTCCGTCCGCCAGCAGACGCCCGCCCTGCGATAGCAGTCGATAATGACATGGCGCCGGCCATGTTCCACCCAATTCGGTGGGTCCATCGGCGGCAGACATTATCGCTCACTCGTCGCTGATGGCCAACCCGGTCGAGGACCGCCTCGATGACGGCATTGTTGGAATATTCCATGGCGGGGTGGTAGGCGACCCCGAGATGGCGGCAGTCCAACCAACACTTTCTGTCACTTGATCTGACTGCGGAGGCTGAGCTTTAGCATCCAATCCTGCTTCACGAGAAGTCGCTCATCACACCGCTCAGCAAGCGCGCCGGTCAATTCGCCATATTCGTACACCGTAACGAATACCTGGGAATGGCTTCACCTGAAAGTTATACCCCGCACCGTCCCCCTCCAGGATGAGGCGATCGACATCCTCTGGGTAGAGACAAATGTTCTACATGTGTCGGTGGGTTCGTCCGAGTCCTGCATTTCTTCAGTTGCCCCTGGAGGGAATGTTTGTTGATCCGAGTTCGACGTGGCTTTGGCAGACAGGGATAGCCTCGTTCTGCGAGTTGCGCCATGAGGCTGACTGACCGCCATAGATCGCCAGCAACCGTTCTATCCCACCTACCAAGTGGGACTGACAGCTAGCAGCCAACTTTTTCCAACCACCACGGCAACCAACACAACCACCAACTAGCCACTTCATCCCGGATCACGATCGATCTCGTAGTGTTGCTGCCGATTTGCGCCAGTAATGAGTCCCCTCTTTGTGATCGCGCGCCGCTATTTCGTCCACGTACGGCATGCTTCCAATTTTTTTTCTCTTGCATTTCCCATGTTCAGCCCCATGGATATTGCAAGAACCCTGTCGCCATTGGGTCGTCGGAATTGTCTCCGGGTGTCAACGGTACCTCCGGTGCTCGGTGCGCTCCGCAGATGAGGTGAGGCGTGATGCCAAAAATGGCACGTTGGTCGAACGGCGATGATCAGGAACGGGCAAGAGGCGATCAGGGGCATGTTGGCGATCTGCGTCTGGTGGCTTCTCTGCCCCTCCGGCTGTCGTCCAGACCCGTCGACCGTCCACGACCATCCCGTGAGTGAAGCGCGCGCTGGCGATGGAGGGGCACTCTTGAGCGGTCTGAATTGATTACTGCCTTGGTACGGTGCTTCGATGTTGCTCCGGCCAAGGCAAGTGTGAATTCTATGTTGGGAAGGCGCCATTTCCGTCGGTGAGATCGAGATCTATAATGTTGGTGTTTCTGCGCTGCAGAGGGGTCGTTTTGTGTGAGGCTGCATGACACTTGCGGGCTTTTTTAAACGATAGGATGTCGTGCCTTTGAGGATCGACGATGCGTCGATGGCTTTGCTCTTTGGAACATCCTGCTGCATGAGAATCTGACGGCAACCACATGCTGATACAGGTGAAGTTGAAGTGTTTTTTTGGGGAAACAACTTTCAGCCCAGAGAGGGTTGAGACATGTCGTGAGGCCCAGAGTGATTGTCGAGTTGGTTTCTCGTGATTCTTCTGTGGTGTCTCTGGCCACGGTCATGTAGTATGGGCAGTCTTCAGCCAACATTGCGTTGAAGACTACGCTGCCATCCAAGTCTATGCTTTCGTCTGATACAGTGTTGTACATATGCTCACAATCCTAATCTGCCACCATGTCAAGTCCTTGACTTCTTCTCAATGGTGACCAAGCTGTCTATCGCCCGTCCCTGGTCCAGCGCCCACCCCGAAGCGACATCCAGCTTCATCTTCATGCCCCCAGCTTCTATCCTCATGAACCCCGTCTTCGTCAACGCCCGCTGGATCCCGAACCACGCAGACTTCATGCCACGTCCCGCGTGCCGGATCGGCACCGTCATGAGGTGCTCCCGGTCGTAATCGCGCGCCGCCTTCCTCTCCTTCCGCTCCTTCTCCTTCTCCGCCTTCATATTCTGCAACGGCTTGAACGGGCTCAGCGGCTGGAACACGTTGTACGGAACCACGACCCTGTGCGGCGGCACGACGACCCTCTTGGGCATGCCCGGCAGGATGCGCTTGACGTTGATCTCGAGGAGGACGGGGGTCGTCTTGGGGTCGATGCCGCGCGGCAGCTCGCCCGCGGGGATCTTGGCGGTGGGCAGGGCGCGGATGTTCTTGACGATGTTGTGCGAGGCGCGGAAGAAGTAGGAGCCGAAACCCGTCGTGGCGATGCAGCCGCCGATGAAGGCCCAGGTGACCCAGGGCCCGAGCTGGTCGGCGCGCTCGGCGACGAAGTCGCGGAAGAAGCCGTAGTTGATGATGGCGTAGCCGTAGAACATGGTCGCGGCGCCCCAGGTGGACAGCTTCATCCAGAAGTGGGAGCCGGCCTCGTAGAGGAGGGTGGGCGTGCCCTTGGCCGCGATGGCCTGGAGGAGGCGGCTGGCGGCGGGGTTCGTGGCCTGGAGGAGCTGCTGCTGCTGCTGCTGCCGCTGCTGGGCGGTCGCGGGGGCGTGAGGTTTTGCTGCGGGGATGGCTGCGGCTGTGGTGGGGGAGGAAGAGGAGGAGGAGGGTGTCTTTGGTATCGGCGACTTTTTGGGCGCGGGTTTGGCGTAGCGGAGGGTTGTGCTCGTCGTGAAGCGGGAGACGGGGTGGAGGGGTCGTTGGGCGAGGGTTCGTGGGAGGAGGGGCAGCCGGAGGGCGAAGCCCCTTGATAAGGCGGCCATTGTGTGTGTTTGTAGCCTGCAGGAAGTCAATTGGTGAAATAGCAGTAGATCGTGAGGTGCGCACCTGTGAGCTGGGGGCTCAATTGACTTCTCGACGTCGTCAGACCACACGGAGCCGGAGCGAGTTTTGGATGAAGCTATCCCGAAAAATTCAGTGGAGACCAGGATCCGGGCCCGAGCTTCCTCGAAAAGGGCCCGCAACGGCCAATGCGACGGTCCAATCTGCAAGCAGGGATTCGTTCTCTCGGAGCCCGGCGCAACGATACGGCGCCAAACTGTTTGTTGGCTCGCGCTATCGACTTATTCCCGAAAGTCGGGACATCAAAACCGCGCACCCACGAGTAGTCTGGGGTACGTACCTCGTTCATCTGGTCTTGCCTGGTTCAACGGCGGCCAATGAGCCAACAAGAATCGCCCAGACAGGCGCCCGGTCCGTGCGCAACGTGGGCTTTTTTTTTTGAGGAAATCCCAACAGGTGGATGCGGTAGCTCACGCCAAAGCTCCAGTGTGTCTCGACAATTTTGCAGTCGAAAAAAAGATATCCGCAGACCGGGGGGGTAGTCTTTTCCAGCCAGCGCGACGAGAAGGAACAATCTCTCAACCCACTTTCACATCCCTTCTTTCTCCGACCACGCCCGACTTCAATTGCGTCCACGACGAAACCACCACGCAGCCGTGCCTACCCCCGCCCTCTTCTTCCAAACGTCCGGGTCAGTTTGAAGGAGGATAATAGCTCATAGAGAGAGAGATGGCTTCCCTTGCGACGGCGTGTCGTCTCTCGGCGAGGGTGGTTGGCCGGAGAGTCCCCGCCGAGACTAGAGGTCCGTAAAGCTGCCACACCTAAAGTCCGATGCGGCTCTTTTGCCTGCATCTTGGACGAAAGGGACCTTTTCAGAATACCTCAGAACCGTCCGAACCCGCGGAGCTGACACCCCCTTCCATCGTCACATTACAGGCTTCCGATCCTCAGCACGATGCCTCGCCGCGCAGAACTTCTCCATGCCCGCCCTGTCCCCGACCATGACGGAGGGTAACATCGCCAGCTGGAAGGTCAAGGAGGGCGAGTCCTTCTCCGCCGGCGACGTCCTCCTCGAGATCGAGACCGACAAGGCCACCATGGACGTCGAGGCCCAGGACGACGGCGTCATGTTCAAGATCACCACCGGCGACGGCGCCAAAGCCGTCCAGGTCGGCACCCGCATCGCCGTCATCGCCGAGCCCGGCGACGACCTCTCCTCCCTCGAGGTCCCCGCCGAAGAGAACAAGAAGTCCGCCTCCGCCTCCAAGCCCGCCGAGTCCGAAGCCGCCCCCAAGAGCGCCACCTCCGAACGCCGCGAGGCCCCCCAGGCCCAGAAGAAGAACACCGGCGAGCCCCGCGAGCAGCGGTACCCCCTCTACCCCTCCGTCCAGCACCTCGTCAACGAGCACGGCCTCGACAAGGACACCGTCAGCCGCATCGAGCCCACGGGCCCCGCCGGCCGCCTGCTTAAGGGCGACGTCCTCGCCTACCTGGGCTCCATCAACGCCGAGACCCCGGGCAAGCTCATGAGCCACGCCACCAAGCTGTCGCACCTCGACCTCAGCAACATCAAGGTCGCGCCCAAGAAGGAGGAGCAGCCCAAGAAGGCGGCCGCCGCGCCTGCCCCCGCCGCCCCCGCGCCCCCCGCCGAGACGCAGATCGCCCTCCCCGTCTCCCTGTACAAGGTCCTCGAGGCGCAGAAGCGCATCCAGAAGTCGCTCGGCGTCTTCATGCCCGTGTCCACCTTCGTCGCGCGCGCCGCCGAGGTCGCCAACGACGACCTCCCGCCCTCCGCCCGCAAGCCCACCGCGGACGAGCTCTTCAACCAGGTCCTCGGCCTGCACAAGCTCGCGCCCCGCGGCACGAGGGGATACTACCTGCCCCAGATCTCCGCGCTGCCCGAGGCGTCCTTCACCGCGCCCCGCGCTGTGGCCACGCCCAGACGCAGCAGCAGCGACATTTACGACATCCTCGCCGCGCCGAAGAAGGCTTCTCCCGCTCCTAAGAAGGCGGTCGCGGCGGCTGCTGCTACCGCTGCGGCGGAGAGCATCTCGTCTGGAAGCAACCTGTTCAGCCTGACGGTTCCCAAGGGCGACGAGAAGCGCGCCAAGGTGTTTTTGGAGAGGGTCAAGATCATTCTTGAGGAGGAGCCTGCCAGGCTTGTCCTGTGAGGTGGGGATAATTGGTGTCGTGGGGGATGTGTGGGGAGGGGGGAGGAGGATATTGAAACGTGTTACAACGAAATTAGAAGAGGAAGCGAAGCAATGTACTTGTAGGATGTCGTGGAGGGATCCGATAGATGACATATACACCCATATTTCAATCTTTTCTGTTCCATAAGGGGGATGTTAGTGTATAAGATGCGTAATGTGACATGGCTACAGGGCTAAGACGGGCTGTTGAACGTCTGTGATCACTTTCATCGTGTCAAGTCGTCTGGCGACAGACCTTCTCTAGGCCAGCGAGCAACTTGCGTCAACTTCAGACATAGACCGACACCTTAGACAAGCTTGTTTCCTACCAGAACAAGGAACTTTACTCGGAGTGTGGCTGGTATTCCCAAATCTGCTTGTGGTGTGACCGGAAGAGGCACAGGCATCGTGTTGGCGAGAGACTTATCGAGGATGACACGACTATTTAAGGGCATGTAGATCACAAGAGAAAAGTTGAGAGCACAATCGTTGTAGATGAAGGTATGTTAATCAACAATGGAGCAGGCCCTCTCGTGTTGCAATGCCGTCCTGCTTCGCTGCTTGAAGCCCGTCGTCACTGGAGATGGGTGCTGAATAGATCATTTGTCCTTGGTCGTCGTCCGTCACTGGAGGTCTATGATACCTGCGTATTCGTTTTGGGTTCCCTCGCCCCGAAGTTGGGAAACGCTTGCTATAGGCGACGTCCACCCTGAGTTCATGGCTGAGGTATGAATAATGTATGCGAGCGCCCTCTCGCGAGAACGCAGGGCTATCAATTTTTATGATCTGCAGAATAAAACGAGATTTCTTGAAATAAAGGCTACTTATACTAAGTCTTGTGGGACAACTAAATACTATGACCGAAGCATCTCAGGTCTGCGCAGCGAAGGGGAGACAACTCTAATCACAGGCTATTCCTCTCTTGAAACTCAAATTTAAGCCCGATAGAAATTTTGTCTTGTGATGCAATGACCAATGGTCTGCTGGCTGAGCTGGACGACTTGCTCACTGCTTGAATTGTAGCCAATGACTAATATCATTTTGCGGCTATCACCAAGCGAAGCATGCCACGAGAGACTCACATCATCTACATTGACCTCCCATCGCTAGGGGCTGAAGTGCCCTTCATCCCTGTCCGTCTTTTTGTTCTATAGATGAATACTTGGTTGAAATGCGCATCAGGATGTGGATGAAGAGCAGCATATTCTTCTTGGGAGTGTCAAGTGTGTTTGTATGTTTGTGGAGGCCTCGTGCCTGGGAACGTTTCCAGATACTGGTTGGAAATAGGATATCACCATTGAAGCAATTTTGGTTCTCCAAAGCTCTTCAATCCGTTAATCATCTGGTTTTATAGCTCACATTTGCGCTGTTGCGTTTACAAGACAGCCTAAATTCCCGTTAGGTTACCGCCTTGCCTGAGTATTCGCAATCTTGCCAAGCCCAAGCGAACAATTTGAGTGGCTTTCAAGCATAGCCTTGCTTACTGTTTGCTATATAAAGAAGCCATTTGGTCGAAGTCATTGTGTGGATAACGATCGAAGTCGTCCCATCCGCATTTTGAAAGACGGTAGGTAGTTCGAGATATCCGAGATTGAGCTGGCATTCGCGCTCGTCGACGCGTTTATAAGGGCTACCTACTGAGTCAGAGATGCATCGTCTCTTGAGCAGCATGTCAGAATACTTCACGGATAATGGTAGCAGTGGTGATGAGCTTCAGTCTCAGCATCTTGAACCCGAACTCAGGCTTACCGTCGTGGCGTTATGAAATGCTGAATAATTTTGATACAATGCCACGCAACCACCTTTCGTATTTGTCCTGTTTTCCTAGAGGTTATATGTTCCCCTTCCATTCCGCAGATTTACACCGAATCTTGTGTGAACCAGACGGTTCAATCTGCTCCCTAAGCGGGGTATTAAGGCTACGATGACTAGATAAGGTAAACATGTGGTGGGCATGTGTCGGTCCAATTGAAGAACTCTCAAATTACTCGTTCAGAGCTGTGAATACCGAAGATCGTGAGTAGTGATTGGATTCGGAGTCAGGGCATGAAAGTGTATTGTCATGTTGTTCAATCAGGAGCGTCAAATCATGTTCTGGAACTCATCGTCTCCTACATGTTTAGTCTAGAATAAGCCAAACCTCTTACGCCGCTATTCTGAGACGTAACAAACCCCGCGGATAGGGTTCATTAGAATATGGGATGCTTCATCGACCTTCTCAACACCGCGGGATTTCCTGCATGATAATCCGTTGCTGATCCGAAACGATGTAGAAGACTGGAGCTTTGTAGTTACGTTGCCTCCATATTTCCACTAGACTGCTCTAAGAAACAAGTGACTTTAGCTACCAGATGCTTGGAATTTGTTGTGATTCAGTGGATGGTCCGTATTGTAAAGTGAAAGTCGCCTCCGGCTTAGACTTAAGTTGAGCCAAGGCAGGAGATTTAGCTGGAGTTCATGACAAGGTGCCGGATGAACGACACTAGTGCTTTTATTACCTTATGAGAGGCCTCGAACTTTCCATCAATGGATTATTTATGATCAATTTCGCTTGAAAGTAACAGCAAATTCCGATGGCTTGCTTTAGATTGTCGCATCCGCTACTTTACAAGGAGTCAGACCGCATCTTCGCCCATACGCAAGGCCAATTTGCCAGCACATAGCTTCCGGCACTGGAGAGTTTCGTGCGATGACTTTGCGGTTCCGCAACTGGTTTCTGAAGTCGGGCTCGGGAGTGGAGAGGTCACGGCTCTACTCGTATCTCTTGAACAATGAAAACGTGTCTGCGTGACTGACGACTGGATACCCATCAACTTATTGCTGATAGAGACGGACGAAGATTGCGCTATCAATTCCCGTGCAACACAATTAGACTAGACAGTCGTGGCTTGTGAAAAGGGAGCCCTAGGGCAACATGATACGGCACATTTCAGCAAATACGTCCTACAAGGTAGCCGATTTATAACGAATCCAAGCTCTTGAGTGCTGTACTCATTTAAGTACCTTGAACAGACAGTCTAAGGTGTGTTGCAGAAAACATAGATAGAATAGTTGGGGGGAGTCTTGATAGACTTAGTCTCACTGTCGAGCAATATATCCGATAACTATATGCTACTGACTGCGCATCTTGAAGTTTTCAGGATCTAAGTACGTATAGTATCGAAGTGAAATTGAAAATGGGCACAGACTGGCTGTCTGCCGGGACTCTTGAACATCAGACAGAGAGTCGACCTCATTCTTAGTATTGTCCAACCTGTTATGAGTATTCGATGGCTATTCACTCTGAATCTGATTTTTTCTCGTGCCATTACTAGCCTTCCTCTCTTAGCCCGATTGATGGCAATCACAGGACCAGGCATTCACAGCACATGGGACCTCGGAACATTTGTGGTTGTGCGTGGTGAGATCACCCGAAGCTATATTGCGTGAGAATATATAGCAAGAGTCATTACGCTGTTGAAACCGCTAGATGGTACGGTATGATAACAGTGAACACGCATCACGGGTTGCAATGCTTACCTACCTGTTTGCGAGTGCTCAATGTCATCGAATACTTTGACTACGCGCAGAGAGAACGCTCATGGATCATCAACGGCTTCAAGATGCACCAAAAAAATGACAAGAGAATATAAGACATCAGTTGCATTGGGAAGGGGTCTCAGTTGCCCTCCTCAATGCAACATAAGGTGGCTTTGCGCTTCACGGGATAGCAAATGTCGATTCCTCCCTAGTCGAGAATATAAACCTCAGATCTCCGGGTTACCCCAGGAGGCCTCGTCGCCTTGAGTCCAGATCGTCACTTGCCACCGATGGCAGCCAACGCAATCGGCAATATCAATTCCATTCCGGAAAGCTATAAGGGATTATGAAATGTGAAGCGATATTGCGTTGTCACACATTCACACCTGTAGGAAGGAGCAACGGAGGAGCATTACGGTAAGACAAAGAAGAAAGGACAGAGCTAACGAAACCTTTGTGATGATGCTGGCAAGGAATAAGCTCATCGAGTGCAATCAGCTCTATCAGTCGTCAGACATCAATAGAATCACCTCCCAAATACACCACCGACTAGAGATGAAATAGACGATGACATGATAGACAGTCTATATTCGATTAACAATCAGTCTAAACGTCGACAGCACCAAGGCCAGTTATCTCACGACGGATTATTCTCAGCAGGATAATCTCTACTTCTGCTCGACAGATCAACTGGACGATCATTTGCTGGATTGAAATCACAGCCGCCGGCCACGATCGGAATATATACTCTCAAGTACGATACCTTACGTGCAGAAAACATGGTCTTGATCATGAGTCACAGCTGCGAGGCTTGCGTTTGCCCTACGATTTGGATAGGAGGATCGGACGATTGAACGTTTTTGCATGAGAATCTGGTTACTTGCCATGCAGTCCGACAGACTTCAACTGCAGAAAAATCAGCGCCGCTCATTGGATCAGAGGACACCCGACTTTCTCCTGCGGAAAGCGAACCCCAGGCGACAGAGCCTGCCGAGCCTGAATAAGACAAGCATTTCCAGCAGTTAAGCCCGCCGTCCGGGAAGAAGAAACTTGCCATTGGGTTTCCATGGGTGCGATCGTCTCGCCACTAAAAAGGAAACACCAGCCCATGTCCGAGACCAAATTAGCTGAAGGCGACGTAGCTTTTCGCTTGTGTATGATGTTAGCAAGCGAGAAATATGAACGTTAATGAACATGCGGACGTCTGGACTGTGCTGGGGATTTCGGGATCGGTATAACCCCGAAAGTCCACGGCCGCCAAGAGGGCGGCAATCGCCTGCCGCTCTGAGAAGACGATCACTCCGGATTCGTGAGCTGTTGCTGGAATACTGCAATTGCTCCCAAATGTTTCGTTCGTGGCTCATGAGTTTCCCATTGAAGACGACTGCAGCATCGACGCCGCATCCTGCATTTAGCATTGTTTGACGTGGTTGCGAAAGACAGAACCCCCCTCGGCTTCC